AATGCCCCAAAGGATCAACGAACTCCACGAAGCGAAAGGAAGATCTACTAGACATTAATTAAATTATAAATATATCAATTCATGTGAATATGACTGAAAAATTTCATTTTTTCTGAAAAGGTAGTGTCTATTTACTTGTGACCACGCTGTGTACACACTCCAGGAAGTATTTTGAGAATTTAACATTGCATGAACAACTTTATTATTTCCTTTTATAGTAGCGATAAACTCAAAAGTAAACTCTGTAATATAAGTTTTTGTATGTGGATGCCATATAAACATAAAATTAACATAAAAACATACCATTAATATTCAATTTATACAACTGACATATAAACACTCCAGGAAGTATTTTGAGTATTTAACATTGCATGAACAACTTTATTATTTCCTTTTATAATAGCGATAAACTCAAAAGTAAACTCTGTAATATAAGTTGTTGTATGTGGATGCCATATAAACATACCACGCACTTTCTACCTTTTTGCATTAATATACTATTATTCTAAAATTATCACTTCTAAGTATGTGCAGTTTTCATACAATACATAGTCAAGAAAGTTAAGTTGATTTTGTTCCATTGTTATTTTATTTAGATCACACCTGTTCTGTCCAAGGGTGGTTGGGATCTAATGCTGCATGTTGCTCAAGAATATTGGTAGCTGTGTCCTTCAATAGAAGATTAAGAGGTATCTCAAAGTCACAGCCTCTCCTATGTTTGATGAAAATGACCAGTCAATCATGTGCATAACATTCACTCTGGGTAAATCCAAAGTTAACTGTGAAGTTAAGAACATTAATTCTAAACAGTGGTAGATGCCATCAGTCTGATCAGTTAGGTAGAGTAGTTCTAATACAGCATAAATGGCAGTTCATCATCTAAGCAAGTACATATATTGCGTTTGTGTTTTCTGTTATAACAAAGGTTGTGCTTTTGTATTTTATGTTGTGTTCAGCTTCTCTGTTTCGTACTCACACACACTCAAGTGTTCAGACAAACTCAGTATTACTTTCTAATAGATATCTTGTTAGACATGTTATTCAGCAGCGCCATCTCATTGTTCTTAAGATAACAAATTTATCTGAATATACTACATCTGATAATTTCAGAAGTAAACACATTGTCGTTTATGATTTCTTCATGTGAGATTCACTTTCAAAACTCTCTTTATATTTCACTTCTCAGCTTTTATGTGTTTGTCATTTTTTAGTATTATATTCTGATGCTTTGTCCTACTCGCTCTTTTTTTAATTATCAAGATAATTACTAAATATATTTTTACTTACCCCAAACAACTGCCTAAGATCAGGATCTCTGAATCGAAAAGGGATGTTACTGACATGAAGACGTTTTGGCTGGTTTGACTTAGATGTGTCAGTGCCTCCGTGTTGACCAGGGATTAGTAACGACACAGCTGGTTCAAAATCTGTTTGCTGTAAAAACAAAAATTGTTTCCATGCTTTTGCAAAATTCTATCTGAAAAAACAACAACCTAAAATCTGTGAGGTTCAATAATTTACAGAAGTTGTGGGGATTGTTTCCTCAGTCAGGGATTCTATTATAGGAATTGTGGAACTTATTTTTAGTACTGAGGATAATAAGGTTAAGCGTGTTGTCCAAGATTATATTATAATTATAAGATCCTTATTTTAGATGTTTATATTGAAGTCTATTGTACAGTTAATAAGAGTTATGTACGCAATTTTAGGAAAGCTGACTTTGAAAACTGTAATAAGGTATGAGAATGAACAACTGTGAGGCTAATCTAAATAGGCAAAATATGAATGTAGCTTGTTTGATTAAGCTACCTAAAAAGAAATTTACTGTAGATTTGACTTTAAGATTAAATAGTTGTTAACTGCATATATGATAAGGTATTGTTGACAAAAGCATAAGTTAAAACAATCAATAATACAGAAAATTAATCAAATTCTCTGGAAATAGTGGTTTTTTATTTATAAACAAGCTAGTACAGCAAGATTAATCGTCTTATACAATGGATCAAACGAAACATTCCTAACAACTCAACACCTTTGGTTCAATAACAAGTGCGCGACGTGAAATTTCACCCCGAAATACATCTCACTGAAGACCAAAAACACTTCAAGTTCAACCAAGAAAGCCCCGAAATCAGCAATGCAGACCTGGGTAAAACAAGAGATCAAGAAGTGTTAGAGACAATGTAAGTGCACACCTTAAAATAGTTCACAGTGAGCTGTGTTTTCATCTTCACCCAGTGGAACTTGATCTCTTGGATAGAGACATACGTGAAAATATAAGTCAGCTCATACTTACTTGAAGCAGGAAAGAAAACTGAATAATCTGACTAAACATGAAAACATCTCAAATCTAGTAGAATATTACCATTTAAAATTCCATCCTAAGTTGGTAAACCTTTCGAATTCCGAGTTCACAAAAACCGAGTTTAATCTACTTAGTAAAGTAGATTTTGTAAACCAGACTTTGAAAATCTCGCAATAGATATAGAGTTAGCACTTAATGTTGATTCTGACACTTTAACAAAGAATATATGCTCTGAAATCATTGAAACTTCTTCCGAGAACTATGCAAAAATGGAGATGAAGAGTCCAAGCAGATAATATCTATAAAATCTAAAATTAAAAATGATTGTTTAGTAATCACAAAAGTGGACAAACTTAATACGACTGTTGTACTTGAAAAGCAAGATTATCACGGTAAAATAAACGATTTTCTTTGTTCTAACAGTTTCACGCTCCTAAACATAGACCCCCCACCAAAACCTTCAACAAGAATATTAAATCTTTGTTGAACAACAGCAAAAGCCTACTTAACGAACTCCCGCCACGTCTGTATGGACTTCCTATAAACTACACAAAACGAATATCCCTATCAGACCTGTTGTTTCCTGTACTAATGCTCCTGCTTACAAACTAGCACAGAAAGCTTCAAAATATTTTCAAAAATCTAACTGGTTTTAAACCTAAGTTTGGTATAAATAAACTGGAGTTTGTAGAAAAAATCGAAAATGTATAGACACATTTAGATATTTGTAATCTGTTCACCAGTATACCTGTTAATGAATAGTAATTTAATAAACACTGGTACAGATATGTTTATGATGTGATTTGTCTTTGGACAGGATCCAAACGTCAACTTGACAATTTTGTAATTTTTCTAAATTCACAAAACATTTTTTTTTAAATTTACGATGGAATTGGATGAAAACGGAAGCATTAATTTTTTGGACTTAAATATTGACATAAATAACGACACACACTCCTTCAAAACCGACTTTTAGTGACATCTTCACACATGCTTCTTCAAGACATCCAATATCTCACAAAATCACTGTATTCCATAGTTTATTACACAGAATTATCACTTTACTCTTGTCATCTGAAGATTACGAAACTGAATTAAAAACTATAAAACAAATTGCTGTTAACAATGGTTATACAACAATGTTAATTAACACATTGTTGTTTAACAAACGGAAAGCCATAAATTTAAAATCAATATCCCCACATACTGTACTAAACGACAGCAAATACAAAAAGAAATGGTTTAAGATGAGCTACATTGGAAAACCTTCTCACAAAATATATAACACACCGAACAAAGAAATCTACAGACATCTTCTATTATAAAAACAACATAGGAAAATATTGTGCAACAACAAAGACAGAATAGAAAAACAACAGTGGTGTTTACCAATTAACGTGTCAAGACTACAATAATGTATACGTAGGTCAAATAGGACGTTCCATAGAAACGAGAATTAAAGATCATTCTAGAAGATGGAAATTAAGGAAAGTAGATTCAACCTTTGCTTATCATCTTATTAAAAGTAAACACCAAGTTGATTTAGAAAAATACTGTGAAAAGTGTAAAAACTAGATAGTCTGGAAAGTCTAAAAATAAATACAGAAAAGTTCTAAACGACCAAACCAACTTAACCTCTTCCCCACTTACTCTAGGTGAATGTCAAGGTCACATCCGGTTCCTTGTTTAAACATATAGATAAACTCTGTTACAAAACATTTCAGCCTGTACCTGATGATGCCTTTACTGGCGAAACCATGGTCGTGAATAAATGACGTATTTATGAAACGTATAATTGTCTTGTTTTTCCTAAATTCTGTAAATTTTTTAATACTTTAAGAAGATATAAATCTAATTTATTCTATGATAAGAAATAAAAAATAACACAATAACTTCAGCTTCATTTATAGGTAGAGGAATGGTACCTGAAGTAACAGGGTGTTCAGTTGATTCTAACTTAAATCATAAAAGCACACATACAGATTAATTTAACCATAGTGATAGGAAGATATATATATATATATAAATATATATGATTCTTACGGTTTGTTGCTCTACGCCATTACTGGTGACTACTGGAGCAGTGATTGTGATGATATCCTTCTGGTCAGTCCGTTGTTGAGCACAAGTTTGTGCATGCTCGCCATTCTGTGTATATTGACCATAAGAAGTCATCTGTGTCTGTACCATATGCTAGGAAAGGAATATATATATATGATAAAACGCACATGTATGAGAATAAAGTCGTTTTAGCTTTATAAAAAGTACAATCAGTGTTGTGATATTAATGTTATTTGATAATTTACTTTTTTTAACTGTTTTTTTTTAACAAGCCACTAATACCGTAGAATGAAATCTAGGACAGTTATATTCTTTTCTGTAAACATAATAAACGTTATTAATATAATATATACACATTGTATCTGTTTCTAGAATTGGATCTATTTACAAATTACCTGTAAAGCATGTACCAGTTCTATGATTCTTATCTACTTTTCTATGTATGAACACTTTTCTTAGCCTCACAGTGGCAGAGCACAGATAGCCCTTTGTGTAGCTTTGCGCTTAACAACAACAACAACACTTTTCTACATAAGTAACACTGTTAAGGTATTTTAAAAATACTTAATAGTAGTTCAATTACATTTTCAATAAACTCTCTCTAGTACTAGACTATACATTAAAGTTTGTTTGTAATTAAGCACAAAGCTACACAAAGGGCTATCTGTGCTCTGCCCACCACGGGTATCGAAACCCGGATTCTAGCGTTGTAAGTCCGCAGACATACCGCTGTGCCACTGGGAGGCATATATTAAAAAGACATCGTCCATCATAATTGTAAGTCTGGATCTAAATAGACAGTCTAGTATTTGAGATTTTTTTTCTAAAGTGACTTTTTTAAAGTGTAAATCCGCAGAAAATTTTACCAGAAAATAACCTACGCAGAAGATATTTCATATCTAAAATAGCTGGGATGCAAGAAACTCTACTATCTCTGGTCATTTTCTAATGAACTTTTAAAGCTAATGGAGAAAGGTAGTTACGGCGTTTAGGATGTATTTTGTTATCTTTGAAATGTAACTTATAAGCTGTACCAAGTAAAATATTGAGCTACTCTACAAGCTCAACTGAATACTAAATACAAAATGTTACAAACCGTGAATAAACAAGAAATATAACAGTGCAGTAATAAATGAATACACATAACATTAAAAGTAATTTGAATTAATATTTTTACTAATAATAGTTACGAGTACATAAACACAGAAATTACAAAGCATGACATTACTCTAATTAGTATGTGTATATACACATCCCCGATACTTCTGTTCACTTACAAAATCAATATCTTATTGGTATGTTATGAAGTTTAATTGAACTGCACGTAAAATGCAAAGAGTTTTGCACAGTTTGCTCGGATATTCGTATAATACATATGTGGGTGTGTTGCTTGCATGCTAAATGTTATCATACTATTACTAGTATAAAACAAAATGTGGGCCGATAAATATTATAAATGTTGATATTACTAAATACGATATATAAGTTAATAATTGAGTTTAACATTTTATACGTGATACACGTATTTTGTACATTTTGGTTGACAACTTCAGACCAAATTTCCCGGAATGGTGAACGTTAGATGACCAATACGTTATCATACCATGACAGTAATAGGATGGTTGTGCAGACCGATAGCACGTTTCAAATGTCATCACTTTTTCTTATTATGTCTCAGCGGAGAGACATACTGTTTTTCTATTGTTTCTTCTTCTGGTTCCAGACACTTTTCAATCGACTGCCATTCCTTTCTTTCTCGGCGGATTAACTTGAAACTTGATATGGTTAAAACTTAGTCCAATAAGCCCAGAAACTCTTCATTTTTTTCAATAATTAGGTCTTCTTAATGATTCTGTGAAGTCAAAAGTCATATTTACAACAACCAAGATGAAAATTGACACTAATATGAATTTTCAAGCGCCAAATACAGCATATAAAATAGTTGGATTTCCCCATTTTGAGTCTTTTTTTTATGGGGGGGGGGGTCAATTACTCGGCCGTATTTTGATCAATTTTCATGACGTTTGGTACAAAGATACTCTTCTACAGGACTCAAACATTGAAAAACAAAAATGTTGGGGTTTCCAGTTTTTAATAATTATGGGGGGGGGGTCAAGCTGCCACGAAAAGCATAAGTTTAGAATTTTTTGACAATTACTCCACCAATTCGGCCAACTTACATGGGATTTGACACAAAGATACCTTTTACAGACCCCAAACAGAGATATAAACAATTTTGGAACTTTTGTCTTTTGCTCAATTTTTCAGCAAGGAAAACACAATTTGGGGTTTTCGTAAACTATTCATGTGTATGTCAACCAACTTACATGTGTACGTCAAACAACTTACATGGAATGTGGTACAAAGATACCTTCTTGCAGGTCCAAGTAGCGATATACGCAGTTTTCGATTTTTCTAGTGCCAAAATTGGCCATGTTGGAATTGCATGGCGGAGACAGTTTGTATTCACCTTCTTTAATTTTTATTTTGTTTTCCAGAAAAGGGGTTTTGAGCAACACGTAACTTAAAAAAAAGTACACAAATACTTCACTTAGTTTAATGCCCTTTGATGTCTTAACATTATAAAATTCGTAAAAATTCAACATAACACTACAAACCTCAAATGCTTTAAAATTTATGTATATAAAATACTTGTCATGTAGGCCTTCAGCAATCTTTATTTATTTATTTTTCTTCCATTTTTTTTAAAGAAATAGCACGCAGAAACACTGTAAGTCTTAAGTGTAAATATTTTTCTCGTTTGTACTTGACACAACACTAATGTATAAGTAAACCTGACACCTTCTGCATCTTTACTTCCTACAAAAATTACTATTTATCTTGGCCAAAGATAAATAGATTATGATAGAGTTTAACACCATTAGTAATGTAAACCAACTCTCAATCTGAGCTGCTTCTAGCAATCGATCACACAACCACGAACAAGAACAACAACAAAAACCATTCCAAAAGGCTGTGTAAAACGTACGCATAGCAAACAGCGAGACGAATTTAGCGTATTGGCTTTAGGCCTACTCTCCGAAAGATAAATGATTTACTGACTATGAAATCAAAATTAATAATAAATCAGATATATTAGTGAGAAGAAGAAAATGCATAATTCACATAGTCTAAGACGTATTTTCCATCATAGAATAAATTCCCTAACTGCATGTATGTACGGTATCAAAATCCATATTTGTCGTTTTACCATCATACATTCACATCAAGCATCACTGATATTTATCAACCACAAATCACAATGCAGAGAGCATAATACAAAGAATCGGAACTGTATACAGATAAAAGCGAGAGTTTCAGCGGTTGACTATAATATTTTTGTTTTTAAACCGATAGTTTGGTTCGATAAATATGAATCAAATAATCGATTTGTGTGAAATATAAGGAAGGCACACGTAAGTGATCGAAACCTTATCCGTTTAAAAGGCAGACCACACTTCAACAGTTGCAGTAAATCCTACTAAAGTTACGATTAGCTTTAGCCTAAGGTAATGGTATAGTAGATTCCAGTACCTTTACTATGCTCAATAAATGAAAAATGAAAAAAAAAAAAACACAAACAAACTTCAGATTACTGTTACAACAATCCAGATATAACTATCACAGTGAAATAGATATATAGCCGTAAACGCATAAATTAGCAAATTTTAATTAAAACAATTAAAATAAAAGAGAAAATATGTTCACAAACACATTTAAGAATTAACAAATCATTACTGTTATTCACAATGATAATTGTAGTTGGTAGTTGTTTATAGCTTTGTTTGTTTGTTTTGAATTTCGCGCAAAGCTACACGAGGGTTATCTGTGCTAGCCATTCCTAATTTAGCAGTGTAAGACTAGAGGGAAGGCAGCTAGTCATTACCACTTACCACCAACTCTTGGGTTACTCTTTTACCAACGAATAGTGGGATTGACCGTCACATTATAATGCCCCCACGGCTGAATGGGCGAGCATGTTTGGTGAGACGGGGATTCGAACCCGCGACCCTCAGATTGCGAGTCGAGCGCCCTAACCACCTGGCCTTGTTTATAGCCTAGAAGCTATTAGTCTTATAATTAAAAATCCTACTCAACAGTAAAGGGCTAAGATGCCCAGGTGACAAAATTATTTCAATCAACTTTAGTTTACAAAAAGCCTACCTTAAAAAAGGTATTTGAGGACATGAATGTAAGAAATATGATTTCACTAGCAAATCCAAAGTTATACTATTATAAAAAGGTACAGAATTCCTGTTGACGGGCGATGATGTGGATTTTGAGTTTTGGAAGACAAGTTAAACGTTATTGGAATGGAATTGGAAAGGATTGATGTAGTTCACTACGTTAGTCAAATATCAATTCATAATGCAACCAAGGCATAATTATAGTGTTTCCGCCTTTAGATTAAAAGAAAAAAACCGGTTCCGGGTCTCAGATCCATTGAGACTCATCAGAAATTTAGGTAACTGGATAAAAATCACCTCATAAATTTTAAAAAATTAAAATGTTGTAAACAGTAATTCCAGAAGAGTTTCCTATCAACAAAGTGTACACAAATATTAGTTGAATTATGAAAAATCATGTACTATGTTTCTTATAAAACTACATACTGCTAAGCATGTGTATGAATTTGTTTTATATTATCGAGCGATGACGTGGTGGTTAGGGCGCTCCGCCTATAAGCTGCTGGTCGCGGGATCGAAACCCGTTGCCGAACATATCACCCTTTTCGCCGTGGGGTGTTATAATGTGACGGCCAATCCCAATATTTGCTGTTAATAAGAAGTTCAAGAGTTGGTGGTGAGTGGAATTGACTTCTGACTAGCTGCCTTCCCTCTAGTCTATCGCTTTTAAATTAGAGACGACTAACGAAGATAACCTCAGAGTAGCACTGCGCGAAGTTCATCAAACAAACAAATAAATAAACTGACGAGCGACAAAGTTACCATTTCTGAACATTTCAAATTTTTTTTAATATAGAGAGAAGAAACATTATGTGCAAAAATAACAAAATAAAAGCACTCTTTCGACATTTTCATGTACCCTCTTCAGTCCAGCAGACTAAAGAAAACACATTGACATGTCGAAAATAGTCCTAGTTTTTGTACTAATATTTTGTTCCCAAA